TTTTTTCTGAGTGTTCGATATTTGTATTAATAATTATAACAGAGTTTCTATTATTGGCGTGTTTACTTAAAGTCGACTGCCGCCTTTGACAGACTACTTCACTTTGCAGAATAAAGCGCAGTCAACTCGCTATTTACACCGAGTCAACTGCCGCCTCTTTGGTAAGCGAATTAGGTCGACAAAGGCAGCGCAATCGAAGCGCTGTATAAACTACCGCCTTTGTCAAAATCACCAAGTCATTTAATTACGAGTTTACGCATAGAGGCACAACAAACCAGTCGAAAGGTTCAACAAACTAATCGAGTAGATAGGTAACAAGTCGTGTGCGGTATGCGATACGCCTGTTCGTAGCAATTACAGTGCGACTCAGAGCTTTAAATCACAACGATCTGAGGAACACTACACCCGTCACCTTGAGATATAAAGTTGACAAGACCTATATGCCTGTAATTTCACCAGCACTCTTCAAAACTCTTTCATAAGAAGCTCTAATGCTCCTAAAACAGCTGTTCGGTCGCTTGCAAAATGTGACCGAGTCGCCTAACAATGTTTACACTTGGTCGACTCGGTCGATTTTGGCAGCGGCAGCCTATGGTTGGCAAATGACACAGTGTTTACGCTGAGTAAGCAAATGCGACCTGTCGACTTAATGTAAATACGCCATAAGGAACCTTGTGTGCTTGTTTAAAACTCGTAGCGACAAACAGGAATACTATTCAGCGCACGCAAAATTGAACACAAATTTTTAAAAATCAATTTTGCACGCGCTGTAACATTTATAAGTTATTTTTTTTCGATACCTACTGCTTTAATTTAACATGGACATGAAATGTGTGCATGAGTTTAAGCATGTTGTTTCCCACTTAACTTTTAGACGTATAAGGCTGCCTTTTCATCAGAGATGTGTAGCGGCGTTGTGAAACGGTGTGATGTTTTCCACCAAAGCTGTGCGAGAATGCCTTACTTTTTATCTATGCGCGGGCGGGGCACGGTGTGGTGTGGCGGTGGCGATATGTCAGTGTCAGTTAGTGTCATACTTTCAGTATTAGCTCTAGTTGCCTACACCGTTTTGCATACATTCCTCGCCCGCATCCCTCGCACACGTCTCTCGCATACATTTCTCGCCATTTTGGAAAATGAAGTAATCCTATTGGTGGACTTTTCGTCACACGTTGCTTCGCTACGTCGCACATCTCTAGTGGAAAAGCAGCCTAACCTTCTTCTCCACTAATCGATGATGATGAAACAAGTTTGTGTTTAGTTAAGCCAAAAATACGACTGCTCAGTTTACATCGCCGCGGAATGGAATGGACGCGAACTTTGTGTTTTTATTTTATAATATCAAATGACGGGACGAACAAGTCGTGCACGATGGTAAGCTACACGCCTGTCCATAACAGTTGCAGTGCCACTCAGAGCTTTAAATCATAAAGATCTAAGGAGCACTGCCTCTGCGCCCGTTACTTGAGATATAAGTTGACAAGTCCCATGTGTATCTGTAATTTCACCGGCACCCTTACCCTTCAAATCCGGAACGCAGTAATGCTGAATAAATAATATGTAAGTACATACTGCTTGGCGGCATACTTTCCTGGACATACTCTTTCACAAGGAGCTCTACTACTACAAAATTTTTAATTATGTAATATTGTGTACGAAGTAGATACGAGCCAAAAAGCAAGTTACTCGCGTAATCTCGGGATTTCCCACAGCTGCGGTATCGTATTTAATTTGCACGTTACACGATTGACTTACAGCTCATTATGTTATGTACTATCTCTATTCCGCAGGAATGTAAGTTGAGCCTTAGCAGTGGAGCGAGAAACAGGTGTAATCTTGACGATATCTGCAATTAATTACGCTTATGAAACCGAACACCTTGAAATAGCTATCATGAAAAGAAAATCATTATTATTATTGGTATATTTTTTTATTAAAAAAGAACCGACTTCAAAAGTTTGCTTATCGGGTTTTTATTGGTATTACATCTATTTGCTAAGTTTTATAGAAATCGGTTAACGGAAAGTGCGCGAAACTGGATACATCCCCTAGTTTGCCATCATTACAGGTACAGTTTTTTTTCAAGTTAAAATTTCCAACAAAAAAAAGAATCAGCAAAATTGGTTCACAAATGCGTTACATTCCTACACATGCAAAAAAATTTTGAAGTCGGTTAACAAGGTCGAATTAACGCAAAGAAATTCCTTCTATCCGGCTGGACTTGAACCAGCGATTGTTGCCTTAACGTGACTACGGCTTTGCCAACTGAGTTGTTGTATCAATAATAATAACAAAGTAGTATATTCACAAAAAACATGAAAATAATGATAGTAAAAAAGAACTTTGAATTCGTCAAAAACGTTTACTTGTATACTATTGTTTACTTGTATACGCTTGTATACTATCGATCGATATTACACCTCGTTTGTGATCTAGAATTCTAGAATTTTAGCATGCTCTTTACGAAATAACAAGGGAATTTGACTATTACCTATACATATCTTCTTTGATTACTAAAATTGAAATTCCTAAGTAGTAATGGAACTGTATTATACTTTGTTTTGTCATTCAGATCGTGACAAAGTGCCCAACATGAACAACAAGGTGCCTTATTGTGTAGAGAATCCAGCGCAGAATCTTATTACTCGAGTAAGTATCGAAATTATTTAGTTTTTTTATAAGTATGATATCAAGTAACGGTAAGAATAAGAGCTATCAAAGGGCCGGGGCTCCATCATCGCTCAAGATTACGCGACAAGTGCCTACCGTTGAGTGTACCGACGTCGGCACAAGCGTGCGCCTGTCATTTATGAGCAATCGGCTCCGTACGACTGCATACGTTCCGTCCCGGTGGGAAGAAACGTCTCACCTTGGAACGGATGCCAAGCTTCCCAGCTGTATTTTTGACCATTGAACCTATGTATCTGCCGAAGTTCAAATTGAACGACAGGTCTATGTCAAGTAGCTGAAGACGGTTGGCTATCGGTATGGGTATATCACGCAACTATCCCGGTGTAAAGGAACGCCTCGCCTTGGAAAGCCATGGATTTTATATATCTGCTCAAGTTAAATTGGACAACAGGTCCATTTCAACTAGCTGGAGACCGTCGTCTATCGATATAATATAATATCAGGAAGAGTAAATGAAGAAAAGTTAACAATATTTATAGATGACATACAAAAAGGTATACTTACGTTTATTTTTCCTTTTATTTTTCCAGGTGTTGACCTCGCAAGGACTCGGGAAGTACTGCGACAAGGATTTCATCCAGAGTACCTCACGTGAGATGCAGGAGGCGCTCGACCTCACGCAAGAGGAGATGGATACGTGAGATATATTTTTTTAATTATTCATTCCCAAATCCAAGTCCCTTAGCGCTTTAAAGTCCTCAAGATAATCCTCAAGATGGTGGGAAACGACATGTGTACCCATGTCACGCGGGTCTTGCGCAGTAATGATAGCAAGTCGCTCGGTCCACACGAATTTATTATAGAAGCATAACAGTAGGTGAAGGAAAGAAGAAAGGAAGGATAGGTTGTAACAAAAATAGGTAGGCATAAAAACAGGTACAATAATATAAAAACACTCCCGACAGATTAGACATAAACGTAAGTGAACTTATCCTAAAAGGGCCTGTATTCGTGTGCTTTATAAGCAATTCGACTTACATGATAGGAGGACACGTCCTTTCCTCTCCAAGAATTTTGATGAGAGTGACGACGGAACGAAGCAAAGTAAGAATGGCAAAGACAAGAATTAGAGAAAGATTGAACATTTTAAAAGTGGCCAGGAATTAGAGAAAAGGGTTATAAAAAGGTAGGATGACGATGAAAGAGGTCGCATCACCACACCCGTAACAGTTGCATTCCCACTCAGAGCCTTAAATCGCAAAGATCTGATCGCGCTGAGACATAAAGTCGAAGTTTCATATGCCTGTAGTTTTACATGACCTAGGAATACCTATTTCTGCCACCAAGTAATGATGTACTTTCCTGGCAGTACTTTCCTGGATGAATTCTTCTGATAGAGTGCTCTATTCCTATTATAATAGACATTTACTCTTGCCGGGTCCGTTAACTTATCATGACAATTGTACTTTGGGGACTGTCCCATATCTTTCCACATAAGTTTTGTCTATAATGCCCCTCCCTATCAACTTTTTGGTTATGCGGGATGGGCACTATGACCTGTTCAAGCGAATTCGCACAGGGATCATCTAAGTCAGGTTCTCACCCCGGATCAGACAGTTTGCACGGACTTCATCCGGTTCTCGAAAAGGCTAGTGCACTTCCAGACGCCGAATAAACGGTGTCTCTTCAGTTCTCAAATTCCTACGCGGCCGGAGGGACTGGAAGATGTCTAGCTCATCCTCTACTAGCTCTCTGGGCTAGCGCCGGAGATGCCAAGTAGTAGTGTCCGGACATAGCCACCGGCTTAAATGGCGACTCATGTGTCCCGCGCGTCTCCGCGCCTCAGGCTATCAACTAGACCGCTACTAAGTCGCGTTAACTGCGCGCGACACGAATGCCCCGGCCACACACCACCGGGGCAGAACGTCTTCGTTCCCTGCAGCCAGACTCAAGTCCGGGTCTGCCAGAGACGCCCGGTATCATAGGTAAAATAAATTTACACTTGATCGTCACATTTAAGCTACTGCTCGTTCACTACGCTGGTCTCACTGAGAAGAACGAGCAAGGAACTCTGGGGATTGCTCTTTTCAAATAAACTTAAATGCTATGGAATACACTTTGAATCAAATTTGTGTGGATTCTGGAGCCATGTCGTCTTTCCATACATCTTTATCTAACACGTAGTCTTCAATTTTGTAATATGATTTTTCGATCAAAATATTTTTAATGTAGTTTTTAAACTTAGGAAATGATAAACTTAATATATGCTCCGGAATCTTATTGTAAAAACGTATACAGTTCCCCATAAAAGAGTTGTTTACCTTGGTTAAACGAAATCGTGGTACCATGAGTTTGTAGTGGCGTAGCTTGGACGCCCACCGTACCCTGGTCTTGCCGTCAAGCCCGTAGTCTCTCCGGAAAACCCTTATCTCTCGGGTCTGTAGATAGGGACAACTTATTGACTTGTACTTTGGGAACAGGTGTCAGTACAGTGTTAACCGCTGATAAGTTGACTGTCAATTAAAGAAAATTAGCTAACAAAGTAAACTGTTACAGCGCTGCCAACCAGATTATTCTTCACGACATGACTATGAACCAAGTGCAGAATCGACCAAATAATGTGGTAAGTATAACTATGTTAGTTTCTTTAGATTTAAAAAGTAAACACCATTACGTTGCTTGTAAAGCTTTTTGAATATTATACGGCAACCTATCACAAACTCTAATTTCTTTTTTCGAATTTCATTATTCCGGAAACGGTTCGACTTTTTTCAAAATTATTATTCTTAGATAAAATTGCACACAATTTTACCGTACAGCTCCAAAATTCTGCACTGCACTTTGCTCGTGCAGGGCTTCTGAATTGTAATTTAAAAACAATGGTCATAAATATTTAATAAAAAACGTATAACTCAATTTGTTTGCATTTCCTGGCTAGGTAGACCCTCTCCTGTGGGTTCAGGTTAGGTTAGTGCATGAAAAAGATCCGAACGAGCGAAGCGAGCGACTACAAGTCGATCAAATTAACTTGCACCTCGTTTACCATATTTTCTAAAGACTGAGGTGCTTTAATTTGACATTTAATACCAGTAATAAGAAATAACATAACAAAAATGAATTATGGATATCGTTTTTTCACAAAATAAAAATATTCCATTAGATACATTAGTCAAACGGTTATTTGGTCAAAAGAATAACTTGTTTATATGTCAAAATAGTGAATCATTAAATGGTGTAACAAAAAAAAACCGTAAACTGTTTTTGGAAAAATGAAACAAAACCTATTCAATAAAAGTCTAAAGGTTTAACCGTCTCCAAAAAAGGAAAAGGTTTTCAATTCGGCTGTTTTTTTTTGAGTGTGTATGTTACGCGTTTACTTCGGTGTTTGTGAACCGATTTTGTTGATTCTTTTTTTGTTGGAAAGAGGGTACCTCAGTATTGGTCACATTTTAAATTTGAAGAAAATATTTCATCTCTAAGTGTGGCAAACTTGGATTTGAATACAGTTTCGCGCACTTTTCACTAATCGATTTCATTAAAACTTCGCAAATAGATGTAACTCAGTTTAACTGCCACGCAGAGGTCCCAGGTTCGGTTCTCGGGCCGATAGAAATATTTATAATTTGTGGTTGTTGGTTTTATATGAAATTTCAATCAGTGTGCTCTGCATGTCATGAACGGTGATGCTTTCGAAATGTTTACTTAGTTCTTTAAAAAAGAAGCGGCCATATTTAAGCGTGTAAGGTTTATTTTCGTTTCTTGTTACAAAAAATATTACGATAAACAAGAAATATTTAAAATTTATTACAATTATATAAAATAAGACTTAACGATATAATAAGTAACTGTGGACCAACTCAATAATTGTAACATTTTTATAAAAAAGAAACCGACCATATAAGTAAGCGGAATTTTAATAGTTATATCTCTTTGTATCTTCATCAAAATTGATTCAGCGATTAAGGAGTGAAAGCGTAACACAGACTAACTTTCGCATTTATAATATTAGTTTGGATTTACTGTAAGAAAGTCTCCATTTTTTTTTATTTAACATTTAACTGCCTCCGTGGCCGAACGGTTACCATGCCGGACTGCCACGCAGAGGTCCCAGGTTCGATTCCCGGGCCGGGAGAAATATTTGTATGGCCTACATTTATTTCTCTCGTGAGTTTGGGTGTAATTTGTGGTTGTCTATGTGTGTGTCCATGGCACCCGCAACACAGGGTTTCCCTAGTGTGGGGCTATGTTGAGTGTGAGCGTTATTATTATTATTATTATCATTCTTTCACAGGAAAGCATTTTATCCCGGCAGCATCATCCATTTCATCATCCTTCAGTGCAGCCTCCACCGCGGTATCCATAGCATTATAAATAACAATTGTATTTTGGATTTTTTCTCAACAACCTGTATCAGTTGGCTCTGATATAGGTTACACCCTATATAAGGGTTTTTCAAGTTTGGCCTAGCCACAGTAGCTAGAACGGGAAAGTTTTTTGATAAATATTTTGTATATAAAATTTTATATAAAAAAAATTAATGAATGTCAAAAGCTTATGCTTTCGTATAATATTATATAAATTAAAAGTATTTTTATGTAAAGTCTAAATGAAGATGGATGATTTTGTATATAAAAGATGATATTCTAAATTTTTATAGAGCTTTCCAATGTAGAAATTACAATAATTTATAAATATCGCATTATAAGTGTAAATTTAAACATTTTATACGCGTGAAAGAACACGGACTTGTATATTATTTTATTTACTGTAAATATAAATGAAACTACTATTCATTTTCTAAATATACATGGCAATGTGCCTTATTTGTTAAGAAAGGAGCCCTTCATTTTTAATACCCTAAGAGTTTGAAATAACATAAAATAAATGGTGCCAAATTATTTGCCTTTTTTAGAATTTATATATATTTTATTTGAAATTTTGCTAATTCATTTAAATGTAATAAAGACGTCTTCAGTGATACACACGTCTTTTCTATATTGGAATGAGTTGTTTCTAGTCAAAAGTTGTTTAAAAATTGCTCGCTTGAATGTTTAAAATGAATGTTTTATAGTTATTTATAGTTAATAAATATTATTTTAGTGTTGTATTTTGTATGAATTGTATTTGTTATCGTGATTAAATTGTTGAAATGGAATTTGAAATTTTGCATTTCTATTATATTACCTACGTACTCACATTAAGAGTTTAGTTTAGTGTAGTTTTAAGAGGCATTTACTCAGCTGAATTCGAACGCAATCTGTAGCTGCAAAAGCAATCAATATTTTAGAACGCGCGATTAATACCTTTCATTACTTTTTATACATGACGAGGTAATTCATGTAGTTTCAAAATCTTTCCTTCCGCTGTTTCTTCGCATATCTCTGTCTCTTTTCTTTAAACCTTTCATATATAATTGGATCGTTTTTTTTTTGGTTTTCTAGCACGTTCCTTCATCTTCTTGATTTACCATTTTTCTTTTCTGTTTTGATTTTCCTTATTTATTTTCAGCAGGAAACAAGTAGTAATATAGAATTGTGAAAATCAAATTATTGATTTAACTAAACATTTATATAAAAATATGGATGGAAGTTTTTTCTGACTTCGGTGGAAATTTTTCTGACTTCAGTGGCATAAAATCCACCGAATCCTAGGCCACGGGATTCAGAAAATATATATGTTTTTTGATATTACCCGTAAACTACAATACTTATACAACCAATAACACACATATTATGAAAAATATTACATACAACCATTGACTTACAATTATATGGACGTCGGGTCCGCGCTAAAAAGTGTCCGAACTTATAGGGCGGTAAAATCGTATACAGAGCGTCATTCACGCTTTAGTCTTCGTTTGTTCGACTGACAGCGAAGCAAGCAAAATTAGACAGTAGGTACTGCGATGACATTACAATTTAAATTCAACGTTTTAGCTTTTTCATATTCCTTTACATGTCACTACGTTTAAATAGGTTGACTTGGGACATTTTTTTCGTGGTTTTTGTATTAGATCCGTCGTCCATTTATTTGTAAGTCAATGCATAGAACCATAAAATTTAGTGTTTGGAATATTGTATACACCGAATCAAAAAATCAACCTGGGCCAAATCCACCGAATTAAGTATTTACATGCAAAAAGTCTAATATCGGCAACAAAACATCAGGGGCTTGACGGACGGATAATACGAACGAATTGCGAAGTTTCTCAAATGCTTCACTTGTGACATGTAGTGTGATTAGTAAGTAGCTAACTGCCGCCAAATCCCGGCGTAGGCCTGGGACACGCAGCAATCTTCGTATTGTGATAAAACTATAGTCTATTTTATTGTGATATTCAGTTTATGTTATTATAATAATAATAATAATAATAATAATAACGCCCACAATCAACATAGCCCCGCACTAGGGAAACCCTGTGTCGCGGGTGCCATGGACACACACACATAGACAACCACAAATTACACCCAAACCCACGAGAGAAATAAATGTAGGCCATACAAATATTTCTCCCGGCCCGGGAATCGAACCTGGGACCTCTGCGTGGCAGTCCGGCATGGTAACCGTTCGGCCGCAGAGGCAGTTAATACGTGAACGAAAGTCTCATATTGATATACAGTTTCAATTTTGAGAAAAATTACGCTTTGTGTTAGGTTCTGCATTCGGGACACGCCACCACAGTTGTCAGGTTTTAGGCATTTCATATGTTTTTTCCATTAGGTCCGGAAGGTTTATTGGGAAGATTTTGTGCTCTCCAGTTAGCTTTCGATCTATATTATATTTTTCTTTTTGTAGATACTTGTTTTGCAAATAGTGGAGTATATTGCATGGACACGAAAATTGCGGCTTTGGATGAATGCCTCTATATGTTAGTCTGTAAGGTACGTGTTTAAAGGTCTTTGTAACCTGATTACAAATAAATAAATAAAAAAAATTGTAAACTTCTGCAATCTACAATAGCGAATTCTACTTACGTTATCTATTAGGTTCACATTATTTGTTTATTTCAAAAACGTGTACATGTACAATTCCACAACCGAAGATTTAGTCACAATTTGATACTATGTGCAAAATAGTAATAATCCAAAGTGTTAACTTTATTCCACATTGTTGTCAACAACTCTTGCCTCTTCTTCTAGATCCACAGATATATCATTCAAATCCTCTAACTTCTTCTTAATAAACTCTTCGGTATCTTTACCAAGAATTTTTTCAATAAATTGATCAAAATTGGGATGCTTGGCTTCAGAGTCGTTATCTAATTTTAACTTTTCATCAATGAGATTATTTAGCAGGTCATCTAAATTTTGTCTCTCAAGTTTATCACAGATCATTTCCTTAGTATCTTTACCAAGAAGTTTTTCAACAATTACATCAACTTTTTCTGTCCCAAGTTTCTGGAAAATAGCTTTAGCAGTATCCTGGCCGAACATACTTTCAATTATGTCGTACTTTATCGGCTCATTCTTGTTCTGATGACTTTCAATCATTTGATCTACTAGGTGATCCAAAACTTCAGTATTAGTAAGCATGTTTTTCCCAGTAGTAATTTTATTAAGGTTAAGAGTGAGAATTTCAAACATGAACTCGGACAGCTTCTGTTCTTCCATTTTGTTATTGAAAAAGTATTCTTTGATTTTTTTCAATGCTTTGAATATCATTTCATCTAGCTCCGTGTTTTTGGTTGATGTACTCTGGAACACTGTTTAGTATAGTATAGATACGTTAGTAGTTATAACTTACAGGCGTGGTGACTCATTCCTCATTATTATAAGGTGGACTCTACCATGAGCAAATAATAATTTTATGTATGTGACAAGATTTTCAAACCGAGCTGAAATTCAGGGACTGGAAGCATAATTTGACTAGGCACTGAGGAGTACTTTGACTCTGCGACAAAATTTTGAAATAGAATGTACATGATACAGTGAGTTTAAGCCATACAGTGGTTTAATGCCCGTAAAACGTTTTCCATCCACACATATATAAAATTATTATTATTACCTGAGTATGTATCTTTTTCTATATCGTTGGAATCCATTGATCTTCGAAGTTCAAAAATTTCTTCATTGTCCGCGACGTCTCCTATTTTACCAGCATCTTCTATATCTTTTGTAGAATCATTGCCTGCCATGTTATTATTTAAAAAATTAAATGAAAATTCAAATAAAAATATTTACTGTTTTGAAGCATTATAATAATTCATTTTGGAAGTATTCTTCCAAAATGAACCACAAGTCATTATTCGCATAATCTTTTTTTTAAATATGACAGTGACTTTGGCCATATTCTGCTATATTAAAAAAGAAGATAATATACCAACTCAGCAAGTGCAAATTGGTGGTGTACTAAAATATTGCGAATTCTCTGTCCTCCATCATTAATCACAAGGGTTCTTCCAGCTAGGCTAAATAAAGATAAATTTCATAAATGTTTATGGTAATGCAAATAAATGTACTATGTTATCATGGTATGCAGTTATTTACTGTTAATTAAAAACATAATAACACTATTTGGCTAAAATTTATTAAAACTGAGATCTTTAACTCTTCGTTATCTTCATCATACGTCTTTTAAATCTTTTATTTTTGCTTGCAATTCTGCTTTTAAATCTAATATCATATTATTTAGCACGTCGTCGCTGTAGTCATCCCTATGATACTGACGCTGATACATTGGCTGTACGTTTGTTGGACTATTCATTGTATCATTCGTATCTTCTTCATGATCATTTATGAGACTGACATGGTCGAAATGCATAGTACTATCCAGTTTGGGTTTAGGTCTTACATTTGTCTTTGATGAATCGTTTGAAGATTCTTGTTGTGATGTCAAGTGTATTAATTCTAACTGCAGTTTTTTTATGGTCGACTCGAGGTCCGCTATTCGCTTATTTACATCCTTCTTTTCTTGGTTAGGATTATCAACTGGTTGGGATGATGTGTTTGGTACGGTCAATATCCTCGTAGCACTTTCGTTGTTCTTATCAGGATTCATTGTTGATTTATTTAACGTACCGTTTCATGCGCAACAGACATTCTCTGATTTTTTCATCTCTTTTCTGCAATTTGCAGAAATCTGGTGTAGGCGGGGGTGGGGGAGGTGGTAAAATTATCTTACACCCGACTCTCTTTTGATCCTGCGTTAATCTTTTGCCTAGGATCTCATCACATCTTTTAGTGGTTGTCATTTCACGTTGTTTAAGACATTTTTGGCGTGGAGTTTCATTAAAACCGGAGGGGTTTTTGATTCGTTCCAAGCAGAGTGCGTGACATTTTGGTGGCGGTGGAGGTAGAGGTGGAGGCGGTGGAAGTTGGGCATCAGGACATATTTTTCTTCGCTTTTGCAATTCACAAAGTTGAGCTGTTGTTGGTGGTGGTATAACCGGAATTTCAACGGTACATTTCTTCACGTTCATGACGTAAAATGTTTTAAGGGAAATTAATCGTTTCCATAGTGCTTGTTTAATCAGAAAATGTATTTATGATTTTGAAGATTTGTCAGACATTTTCGGGTTTTACTTTATTTGTTCCATTCTCTAAGGATTTTACCAAGGATAAACCATGTTTCATGACTTTTAATTTTGACAAATGCTGTCGCACGTGAATCTTATACTTAGAGGATGGAAAAAAATAGTCTAAGATCTTATAGGATGGAAAAATAAAGCACTATGGTTTCCATAGTCTAAATTATTCTGACCGCGACTTCATCTCTAGAAGATAGAAAAGAAATCTTTATTTGCATGGTATTTGTTAAGTATTATAAACTAGAACGTAAAAAAAACCATCCATTTATATAAATTTACACACCGTAAAAAAGTAGATTAAGCAATCTATAAAATATAAAAACTTTTAAAACGCTTTTGTACACATGTATTATTTGTATTGAAATATATGTACAGTACATATTATATACAACACACACACACACACACACACACACACACACACACACACACACACA